TATTTTAAAAAAGAGTAAGAAATTTTGATGGAAAAGGGCATAATATATTAATGTAGAAATTAATACGCCAATAAATATTTAATGGTATTTCTTAAAAAATTGTTTATATAATTTTGTCAACCTAGCATCGTTTTCCAAGTGTTGGTGATAAACACAACATTAATAAGTTAATTAATTGACCATTTCAAAATACAAGCTTATCAAAAATCATAATTAAAAATAATAAAATTTATGGTCGGCTTAAATTTAGAATAAATTGAGTCTAATGAATACTTTAACACATCAACTAAAATAAAATATGTAATATTAACTTAAGTGTTCAAATCTCTATCTCATATGGTGTCGGGAGAAATGACTCAATTAGTTTATTGGATTTAAGACAAACCAACAAGGATCCGAGCTCTTTCAAAGTAAGGATTCTATTGGGCGATTTTCTTGGTCATTGTTTGATAACTTATGTAGGTTTAGTTTTTTCGGTGTTGTATAAACTTGATGAGACGATGGAGGTGGAGCTAGAAATTTTTTATCGAAATATTCAAATTTCACGTGCGAGATTTTTATATACAATAATTCAAAAAGCTGTTTTGTATTTTTTAGTTGTTTTTCCAAATATATCTCGAACTCTCTCTAGATATTCTCATTTTTACTTTAAAGATTTGTGATACGATCATTTCAACTTAACGACACAGACAAATCTCAAATTAGTTTTACATTAAAACCGATATTATGCGAGAAAAACAAATAATATTAGCAAAGGGGACCATAGCAATTTGGGTTTTTTAATGGCACAAAATGGTAAAAAGTATAGAAAAGATTCAAATTCCAAAATAAATAAATAAAGTTGTAAGCCAAAAGGGATTTTGAAATATTCGAGGCTGACAGTGAAGGGCACAAGTTGTACGGATTTGACCCACCTTGTGAAGCTTCCGGAGTCATGGGGGCCGCCCTCACTCCCCACAACTCGGCGCGCCGCCGCCGCCGCCGCCGCCGCTCCCTCCGCCACGGCCCCCAATTGACAAATTGCACTTCATTTATATTTAATTCCTCCGTCCATTTGGTTTTAATAAATAGCTCTTTTTTTAATAACATTATTTTAATAAATAGCTTTTTTAAATATAGTAGTGGTAGTTATAAAGTTGCAAAACTGTGACACAAATTTATTTGGTTTATATTTGAATTGGATAAAACTATGGGTAACAGAAAAAAGTTGTGTGTGTGCATTTCAAGTGTTCGAAACCTTTTCTTAATCTACATCCCACACCATAGCAGTAATCAAACAATAACGACTTCCAAGTTATTCGATCTTACTATACGCAACAGTACGTAATTGTAAACAAACATTTAGAAGATAACAAATGCAACGACGATCATCTCACGAGAATGTAAATGCCAAGATAAATCGACAAAAATCCGACTCAAAGTCACTAAAAATAACAATTTCGTATGGAAAAATCCCATAAAGATCATAAGAGGGTGAGGGATAACTATCAACATTAGCATGTTGAAAAGCAGCAGATAGCAATGGTTGAAACCTGCTAGCTTGGTTCGTTCATACAATCCGCTCCAACTCCCTTGCATAACTGAGCGTTTGGTTGATGAGTTGAAGAGAAGGTATTTCCTTGCAAGGTGCAGATTCTTTCGCCTTTTGGAAATATACAACGCCATTCGTTATCTCCCACTCGGGATGCTCCTGCATCGAAACAACAGATCGTCATCAACAGGTGCATTGTGAAAACATGTAAAGAATAAGACATGAAATAGTTGGTGGAAACTCTCTTAGTTAGTACTCATAACCTTCAGGACAGAGGTTAGTCAAGAGAAGTATTCATCGAAAAGACAACTTTCATCTATCTAAAACTTGGTAGTGAGAATGCAGATTATCGAGGATTAAATGCATCAAACAGAGCTTACCTCCTTGACATATTCCAAAAGTTCTTTGTCAGAGGAAAACAGCAGCATTTGGCGTGCATCGCTTATAGAAAGATAATCATATGCCTTCTCACTGCAACCAGCTATTTCATCTCTGGAAGTGACAGGAACGACATAAATTATGAATGAAATGTATGTTGTCTCAAAAAAAAATTAAGAATGAAATGGAACAGCTACTTGTCAGCGACCCCGAGAGAGAGAATTTGGCAAACACTTGGAAGGACGTGGGATTTATCATCTATCATTATATTAGTTAGAGACCTTATTTAGATGAGTTACCTTACAGTCTTTGCAAGGAGGTCCATGAAATAACCAAAAGTTTCGTGGGGCACAGTCTGTCGAGCACTCAACACACGGTTGTAAGCACCTTCCATGAAAGATTGTTCCAGCTCCACAGCATGTTTAATATATGGGCTCTCCAAAGCAGAGGTAGAAAGAAGTTCAAGTTCAGTATGGAATTCTGCAATTCTATTCTGCACAAGAAGCCTCAAAAGGTTGAGACCCAAGATTGGATACTCCTGAGGGGATGGTGGAAGGAGGTTACTGATCCAAAAAAAAAAATTCTCATGAGAAAAAATTGTACCCAGAAGTTCAACCACAAGATAACATCCAGTTAATCTCAATGCGGCAATCTCGTAAAATGCTAGATTAAAACACAGGAAGCTCAGGCTAAAATCAGATACATCAGTTTTGAACCTCAAGAGAACTCAGAATATGCTTTCCTGATAAGTTAGGACCCATTTGTTACTCTGCTGCAGTTCATTGTCAGATGATTTTCTCGCCAAAGCAGTTCAGTTTAATTAGATTAAGTCATTTACATGAAAGAAGGAAAGATAATAGTATGATGTAAACTACCTAATAGTGACCAACTAAGAAAATTATATTTGCAAATAATATCTATACGTAGCTTTAGTCTTTGATGAAATTTCACTTCAAATTAACAAAGAATCAAGTTGTTCAATAGAACTCCACTTATATCTATACTTTTCTACTCTTTATCTCACTACACCATTCCCCAGGCTCGCAAAGGAGTATAAATCATTTAAATCTTGGCAATTAGCATAACTTTTCCAAGAATCTCAGGAAGAAAAACAAACCAAAGGCACCAACTGAAAAAGGAAAAAACTAAACATTTTTATATTTTCTTCCCCGTCTGAGATAAACAAGCAATATATCATAATAATAAAGCAACTCAATCATTTTGGACAGGATTTAGGAATTCAAATTTCACTTTAATTTAGAAAGAGAAAACACACCGAGCATCAGTGTAGTAAGGCTTCAATTGGAAGAAATCTCTTTCAAATGCCTCTTGATCCTCAATCTTCACACTAAGCAACACAGCGTGCTCATATATATCCCCTGAAGACACCAAATAAACACAAAAATCGTATAAGAACTAAATTTAGAAAACGACTGTGCAGGAAAGGAGAAAAAACCCAAGTCCCCTATAGATAATAAACTTTTTCGTATAGAAAACTCAACATCAGAATATTCAAAGATCCAGAGAGTATATTATTTTTTCATGTCCAAGTAGTTTCCGTCTTTCTCCAACTTCTATTAGATAGATTATCAACTTATGACATTCGTGTCTCATATTTTGTACTTCTGAGTAAAATTACTTCAAAAGCTCATTCAAATCTTATCCAAATTTGCATCAACTATGGTATTGGTCATCTAACTTCTAAGATGGGAAATGCTTTCAAAGCCTCATCATAATCTTACCATTGTAGAATCAAGAAGTCAAATTTACTCAATCTCATGGCTTAAGCTTCTAGTTCGGGTGGTAGCTTAACAGCACTAATCACAAAAGTGAATATACCAAGTCCCACACAAATATAAGTTCTATCTATTACTATGAAGATACATAAACCATATATTATAATCTTCTCTTCAGTTGAGTATTGCAAGATCCAAGCGACAGCAAATTATTCATATGGAAAAAATATAGTCCAGCAAATAAGAGCAGCGGAACTATGAAATATAGTATGGCGAGACATTCTTACTAGCCACCGTCAGTTCATGGACAGCATTGGGGGTATTTTCAAACAATGGCGGAAGACTTCTGAATCCAGTCAAAAAAACCTGCAAAAAGAAAAACAAAAAAAAGATTTAAGAAACTTGAACGGCATCATTAAAAACCAATCTCCTCAAGAATAAAAGAAAACACGCTGAAACTGCAGTGAACAGATGAGTAATTGGAAGAAACATTAGGGTTCTAGAATCAGATCGATACCTTGAGCTGACAGAGGAGATTGTTACAAGAATCATAATCGTGCCTGACAAGAGCAGCTTTCAAGCGCTCGAAGTTCTGCGAGACCTCAGTTAGCTTAGGATCCATGGCGATCTTCGTCTCCTTCAGTTTCTTTCTCTGAATCTCTCCGCTGAAATGGAAATGGAAATGGAAATTGGTCACTTTAGTTGCTGCCTTTGCTTGCTCTTCAAGAAGGAATTCCACTTTCTCTAGGGCTCGAAATTGGGCCGGATCCAACAAGATACCCATACCCGGCCCAAACACCGTAATTACCGAACCCAACTCTGGGGATGAAATATATTATTATTCATATTTTTAATTTTTTTTAAATGCTTGAATTATATTTATAAATTTTAATTTTACTGTTTTGAGTTGGGTATTTAATAAAATATTCAATTGTACCATTTTTAATTTTTAAATTAAACAATGTGATTTTATATTTTGATTGAAAGAAAAAATGAACACACAAGAATAATGGAATTTTTTTATTTTTAAATTTAAATAAATATTTTTTATTGGCTTTTAATTAACAATAATTATTTTTTAATTTAACTTCCATCTTCAAAAATATATAATTTCATTTTCAATCTTCAAATACTGATAGAATTTTAAATATTTCAATGTTAATTGAACATCTTTGACATTAAGTAACATAATAGAATAGAATAATTTTGAACATTTCATTCATTGAAGAACATTTTTCAAGCAAAACATTGATTTTAAAAAAAAAAAATTAAGAATTTGAGAGCAATATGATGATGGGAAAATAAATAATGAAACGAGTTCAATTCCAAAATTTCCGACCAAAATTTCCTGCAAGTAAAAAATGTTCCACTGAAACGTCTAAAAATCTCAACCAAAATTCTCAAGATTTATCTTCCAGTTCTAGGAAACTACTGTGACATCGCTAAATGAGTTCTTAACCTAAGGAAATCATGCTCAAATGATGCTAATTCACACCTTCTTCTACTGAGACCCAACAGTGCACAATAAATATACATAGAACAAAGCTGTAAAATCTGTAAATGGTGTCTGAATCTACCAATTTATGATCCATAGGTTAGCGTTCAAAGGTTTGTGCAGTACCTAGTGGTGAATCGACTTGCTACTGATCCGATGCGTAGTTTCAGTCTCTCTTAAGTTGAGCGCCATCGACAAGGTATTGGTTCAGTTGCTGGCCAAATATCTTTGTAGAGAAAGATTCGACGGTGTGTTGTCGGGCTTCCCTCCCCATTCTTGCTGCCATCCCAGGATCCTGGATGAGTTTCGCCATTGCCAGAGCGAACTCTTGAGGATTAGGCGAACAGAGAAATCCTGTCGCACCGTGTTTTATAGTTTCAACTGGACCCCCACTGTTGCATGCGATAACAGGCTTGTAAGCTGCCATGGCTTCCAAAGGAACAATGCCGAAGTGTTCATCCTGCATTAATTCATATTTATTGTAAGACCAAAGGATAGGATTTCGTTAGGACCGTGTAATGGGGCGATGCACAAACCTTCGGCGTGTAAAGGACACAGAGACATTGGGAAAGGAGGGCGTTTCTTTCGAGTGTTGAGCAGGATGTGATGAAGGTAACACGCTCAGATACACCTTCTCTTTCAGCTAAATTCTTAAGCTCCTCCAAGTATTCAACGTTCTCTCTTAGCCGTTTATCGAAGCCTCCTGCAATACAATTTGAAAAAAAAATGCTTAAAAAAGTTGTACAATTACAAAAGTAATCTGCAGAAAATCTCCAGAAAATAGAATCATCGAGTAATATGATATAGTGTAATTTAGACTGCATCAAGCTTGAACTCATTGAGTCAATTATTAATATGAAGCAGCACCAAGATCGAGAATAAAGCGTCCGAGCGTATTAAACAGGCATTCTACACTTGAGGGTTGATGTTTAGAAGAGCTGAAGTATTAAACTAATTGGTAAAATCTCCATGTAGATCCCATCATATTCTATTGCAGTAATCAAAATGAATGCATAACTAAGGGTTTTTACAAAGAAAACATTTTCCAAACAAATGCAAGCAATCACTCAGTTGCAATGGCAAGGTAATTCAGTAGAACATTAAAATTTAAAGCATCCTTTTCAATAACGGTCCACGCCCCGTTCTTACTTGATAGGAGACAACGCTAAAGCCAAAGATTAATAACTTTTCGATTCACACCCCATCTTGATAGGAGACAACACTATTGCCAATACTTATGATCAAGAATGATCCACCATGAACCACTTATCAACAAAACAACAGGTATTTGTTTCACCCCCACAATATATGATGGTACTAGGGAAAAAAGTTGAGACTTACCAGCAATGACCAAGGAAACATCAGCTACATTGTAATCTTGAAGAATGCCGCCTCCTTCAGGTGTGCCAAGCCTAGCAAAGGCTGAAATAGCTAATTCAATGTTTTTCTTCCTTTCAAAACGGTTGATGGAAAGAAAACTCAACCTGATATGAATGAATTTATAAGAATTGAATGAATATAATAGAGAGATGCAATAAAAATAAAAAAACAATAACAGTATTTTTTTAGAAAAAACACATTGCAAATCACAATATAAAGTTTATCAACTCATAGGAACAAGAATATACAAACATGTCCGTTACTTCGGAGTATGAGGCTCATCAAACTGATCTATATTGACTGCTGGATAAAGAACAGCAGGTCGAATTCCTCGCGCATTGAGATGTTTGAATGTATTGGCAAAAGTGGATGCAGTAAATTTGCTATTGACCAGTATCAAATCTGCCATTCCTGTGATTACGTTAAGTGATAAATGTAAATATTGAAGAGTATATGAATGTAATATCAAATCAACATAAGAATTGAAAGAAGTAGAATGAATTGTCAGAAACCGAACCAGTCGTCATTTCTTCAATTAAGTCTATGGGTTTTCTATACAGCCTCCTCAACAAGGTTGTGTGCTTAGCCAGTAACAGATCCGGAAAATGACAATAAAATACAACCTGGATAAGCACGCAGCTTCTTTAGTCGACCATGATAAAGTGACATCTGAACAACATTAGGAAAATATCCATACCTTTGATGACCTTTTCAGTTTAAGTAGCGGAACAACAACAGAAACCTGATCTGCTAGTATGATATCAAATGATGGCCACATAAACAGCATGCAGAGGGTGACAATAATACACCGTAGATATGCACATACTGCATGGAGGCGGTAAAAGATATGGCGAGGTAGGAAATCACCATACACAGTAACTGGAAAAGTGCCTGGAAGAAATTAAAAATGAAAGCATTAGAATGATATGCTGTGATACTAATACTATTGCAGAAATTTGAAGAAAATTACGAGAATCGATCACAGAAGAAAAACGGGGAGGTTGAAATTTCTCAGAATAGACGTGTCTCCTTGGCATAGTACAAGAGTCGATCTATAGATATATTATTCCTTTATCACAGCCTCATCCTACACAAATGCCTCATTCTGCCCCGTTCAAATTGAGACTAAGACTTCTTAAGTTCAAAAATACTAGAATAATTCTTTCTAATTTCCATTTTTTGAATTGCATAAAATTCTTCTCATCAGTAGAAAGATATATTATTTCCAATATCAGATCCATTGAAGATAAAAGCAGTGAAGCACACCAGAAAGGGTTTCCTCAAAGCACCGATTTTTGTCGTGGTGTGATGTAAAAATATGGACATCATGTCCACGAGAAGCAAGTTCGACAGCAGCGTCTACAATCAACCTCTCAGCTCCACCTGTATGCACCATACTCTGTTAATAGCTATCTATGACAGTAACCTTTGAAGATTCAAAGTTAGAAGTACATGAAACATAGAATGGAGAAATTTTTTTTGTTGATTGACTCTAATTTTAAACATCATCTGCTTTAAAGGATAAAAGTAAGAGAAAAAAAATAAAAGTTCTATTCTATGCGCACAACTCAACTCTATCATTTCTTGCTGGTTATCAGCTTTATTCCCCAAAATGCAACCCCAATATTATAGAAATCCATCCTTGATTTTGTTCTGTTTTCTGGATGATGTTTTGAAACCTTACTTCATTATTTTCACCTGTTAGACTATAGAAACAGAAGGGAAAAAGACAACTAAAGAAAGGTGACTGATTATAGCATCCCCTTGATGAAATGTCCGTTAAATCACCACTGGGATCAAAATCTTATGTTTTTGAGCTAAGTTAAATTATATTTTTTCAATGTATTCTCAACCTGTAATTCGAAGATTAACGTGTTAACCAATCAGAAGAAATGGAGAAAAAAATAATAACAAGCTAAAAAAAGTAACTTGTGTTGTTGGACTAAATCCAATTCAATTTTTACAATGTATTCTTAACAGAGTAAGAAAGATACCACCTTAAGAGAAATTTAAAAAAAAGGGCACAACGATTCAACGGATGTGAGTCAGTTTCATGGATAGCAATCAAACACACAAACACACATAAGCAATTCAAAATGATGTGCCAGCATTCCATACTTCCTAGAAGAATAGAGAAACAGCCCCAATCAACATAAATAAGAATCAAATTCATAAAATGTGCCAGTGCAATCCCTCGGTTCTCTAAACGTCCAAATCCATAACACTACCTAATGCGCTCACACGCTATTAAATACTTTATCATCTTCGATAAATCAAAATTCAAATCACTCAATTCGATCAAATACGAAGAACTAAACAACAGAACATGAAAAAGAGGTGTTGATCGAAATTCAGCAATTGAATCAGTTGATAAAACAGATGCTCTTACCTATACCAAGATCTGGGTGGATTATGGCGATCCTCGTCTTCGATCGCCTTCTTGATTCCATCGTTTCCCCTTCGGCTTCAGGAAACGAACTCGTTGCAGAAAAGAGGAGTTCCCTGGGAGCTTCTGCCGATCGGAGAGTTTTCTGTTAGTGGGCCGTCGGCCTTTTTCAATTTGGGCCCAGAAAAAAAAGCCTGTTTCATCTAGAAATTTATCTAATTTTATAAAACGTTATTTAAGTTCAACTCTAAATATTACTGAATTATAAATTTAGTCCATAAAATATTAATTTATTTTGTAGGCTCGAGTTTTGATAAGCTTCTTTAACTTTATGGGTAATTTAATTTTATTTAATGTAAAATATATAAAAATTTAAGTTTGATGTACAAATTTCAATCTTTCCAACTATTTTTATAAGTTAATCACACCTCCAATTCCAAATATTTAGATTTTAATTATCATTTTCAACAAAAAAAAAAAATGCAAATTCAAATTTCAATAAATTTTTTATTTTAAAAAAAAATGCACAAACTCAAATATATAAAGCATAGAATTATAAATTATAAAAACTAAAATAATAAACAAATGTATCACTGTATAATTTAAAATTTTAGTAAAATTAAATATAATTTTTTATGATTACATTAAATAACTCTGTAGGCTCCTTCACAAAAATCACAAAAATCAAAATTCTTCTAAGGATGCGCACCTCAGAAAAACGGGGTTCTATAAAATATTCAATTCATCCCTCGTAACCATATCACATCTAAATCTGACGAAATAGGATGAATTGAGAAGGGAGCTCGTCCACTCTCATCCGCATATGCTACTTTTCAAAGACCTAACAACCAGCAATCAGACCTATAATTCTACCGTTGAGTTAAAACGACTTACAATAAAACCCAAATAAAAGAACCTAAAAGATTTACTAGTTTAGGTAATGAGTAGAGTTAAACAGCTGCAACAAAATCAAAACATCGAGATGAATTAACAATTCTCATCCTTTGAATTATATATTACATATACATAAAGAGTTAAAGAAGCCACAGTGCTTGCTAGCACCACAATATTGTTTTTGTTGCTCTCAACTTCATTTTCAGTTGGTTCCAATTACACAATCATAGCACCATGTACAAGAAAATCCATTTTTTTTTTCTCAATCAAGCCCTGGTTTCTTAATTAAAAAAATGGTAAAATATACTACTACTCGCATGCCAACTTCGTGCCGAAGCTCGTAAGGCAAATGGCGAAAGCCTGGAAAGCTGATAATGGCTGCCTATAATCCATAGTAAAGGTGTCGTCGCCTACCTTTCCGAACTGTAGGAGGACTGTTTCTTCGTCCCCTTTAACTCCTGGCTGGCTATGGTCAACAGCAGCGACAAGTTGAAAGTTTTTAACGGATGCTACCGTCACCCGACCGTGAAAATTCAAGCACCAGCATTGCAGGTGCTCATGCCATCTAGGGGCCTTGTTTCTTAAGATTGTCGACCCAGATGAAGGAGAAAAGGACTCGGATTTCTTCATCTTCGAGTCCTCATAAGGTTTGCTGGTGCCAGTGTCTTCTGATACTGGGCACTTCAGAGAGCATATCATTCTCCTTGGGCCTCTTGATTTCAAAAGATTAAATTTGTAAGAGACTTGCCCAATTTCAAAATTCCCCGCAGAAACTTGTGGGCTAATTTGCTTGCTTGCAAAGCGGCGGCTTGATTTACTGCTCGATGGCTTTGCACCGTTATGTGGTGGCTGGCTATCATAAATTGTAAAATTGGTACCAAGAAAATCGGAGCTGCAAAGGGTTCAGAAAATGGGGTAACAACTTAGTGCATTTTATTACAAGGAAACGACATACTACGACGTTTACAAATTGTACCAACAAACTTCGAGCTGCAAATTTCCCTATAGCTAACACAATGAAATAATTTTTCGCACATTAACGAAAAAGAGAAAAGAGAGTTGTTAACTAATGATCCTCCCAAAGTCTGGGTGTGAAATATCTACAGTGACTAACATGTGGTAGCATCAAGCAGTTCTTTGCAAACTATCGACATGGATTATCTTTCAGCAAGAACTGTATCTTATTTTATTTTCTTTTATCATGAACCGAGCTTTAATTGAGAAAAATAAAAGAGTACAAAGACGAACAAAAAGAGAGCCCACAATAGAGGGGAGGAAAACTAAAAGAAGGGCCCACCTTATAGCTCACTCAATGCTCTAAGAGCCCTTGTTTGAGAAAAATGGCAAGAATGGGGTAGAATATATGAGGATGGGGATAGAGGCGTGAAGGAGGTCTGAGATTCATTTATCTATCAAGGTAGCTTACTCTGGGAGTTCTCATGAATAATAGATGTTTCTGTAATCATCGTCCATCTTACACTTGGGCATGACATTCCAAAATCACTCTTAAACATGCCCTTATTTCACATGGAGGAATTCTTTTTTTTTTTTTTAAGTCTCTTGATCACCGATGTTCCCTTAATTGTTATTATTGCTCTTTTTAAATAAATAAATAAACGAAGAAGAAGATGCCACAACTAGTGACCCATAAACATAGACATGGTAGAATTGTCCCACTATAATTCAAAGTTTCATAGTTTTGGTTCTTGTAATTCTCAAAAAGAAAGGACAGTGTCCCTCGTGGGAAAGCAAGAAGATCAGGCTGAATATATGGATATCCCCACCATCAAAAACTAGCTCGCCTCCTAGTATATTAGATATCCAAAAGAAAAGAAAGCAGCATATAAAACAGGATGCAAAGAGTATGATGCACCAAAATAAAGAATTTGTTCCGTCTTAAATTTCCTAAACAACAATATCTTACCTTAACTTCCCCACATAAGCATTGCTTCCTTGGGATAGGTCTTCACCATCAAGAGATATTATATACTCAGTATGAGATCCATGCCTATATCTTCGAGCAGCTAAGAGGAATTTTCCCTTATCTGTAAATGCTGGAGAGGTAGGAGGGAAAAACCATAATCAGCTAATACCACATACACAAATTCCTCCATTACTAAAAGAAAATAACAAACAACAGATAGGCAAGACATGTCAGTCATCAGTGGCCACCAAGTCATACACTGGACACAAAAGTTGCAATTTAAATGCAACGAACCATACGTATAAAATAATACTAAAAAAATTCTTAGTCTGTAAAATTCATGAACATCTTACTACAATTCATAGTTGGTCATCTCTATTTTGTGTTTTGTTAAAGAAAATCAAAGTCGGTATTTTTCTTGGTGGGATTTGAATCACCAACCTTTTGGTCAAAATTGTAATAGCTTAACCCATTGAGTTATGCCTAGGTTAAAAAGGTGGGTGTTTCTCATAAAGTCAATTATTCATTCATGTGAGCGAGGGAAAAAAATTAATCAAACCAAGTAACCCACATGGTAATCAATCCTAACTCAAGTTAAACATAAGCCTAGTTATTTGTTCATGCCAGTCTCTAAGAATTCTTATACAGAAGACAAAAAACACTTCTAATCTTGACCAGGCCCTTTGGAATAAACATAAAGTAACAAAGATACAAAGAAAACAAAAGGATAAGAAATCAGAAGACAGTGGATAAATGAACCAAAACTTGCAAAAAGAAAAAGTATTACATCCACCAAAATAAATGTTTAAGAGAACAAGAAAAGAAAAACCATTTACAAAACACAAAGATAACAACAAAATTCACCCCCAAGGCCCAAGTGTTACATTCTCTATACCTTGGTACTCATCAGTTGTATTTAAACCATAAAACCCAAAAGAATGCTCAAGTTGATTCACTGTTTAATGAAAACTATCATACGAAATGTTCAAATAAAAATATGATCCTGGACCCAAACTCAAGAGAAGATATACCACTCCGTTATGAGCCCAAATTCAAAAGAAGATATATCCCTCCATCAAATTATCTATGTTCAGTAATTGTGCAAGTCCTTATTAAGAGTTGAGCCCACTTAAACGATTTTTTAAGTTCTTATTAATGTCCATCATGTTCATGGGTTGCAAAAACATGTATTTCATTTAATTTCTTTTCCTAGGGAATAAAGGGGAAAGAGGAGCATGCATAGACAAATAAATTCGACTGCAAAAAAAAAAAAAAAAAAAAAAAAAAAAAAAAAAAAAAAAAAAAAAA